CTCTCCATTTAAACCCCCGACATTAGGTCCTCATTTTTCCCCTCCCTCCCCGCTCCCCCCTCCCACATGAGCCCTTGATAGTTTATAAATGGGTACATGTACATTTTTAAAGCATGCTGAGACCCCCAAGTTGAGAAGGACCCAGGCGGTTGATTTCAAACATTGCATGGGTTGTCTGCTCTGTGAGGGCCCTGAAAAATGAAGGGACACGACAGCCAGTGGCCAGTTAGAATCGCTAATGGTCCAGAAAGCGCTGCCTGCCCTTGTTTGTGCTGCTTACCTCGGCACCTGGGCTCTTGAACTGCAGTTCCATAATCAGACTTTCTAAGAGAGCAGCTGCTGGGCGCATTTGCTGGGAATCTCTTTGGGGAGCCCGGTTATTTGCATTTTTCTGGAACACTTTGCCCTTGGAAACTACCCAGTCCCCTGGCATCATGGGAATTTGCCTGGTCAGCACCCTCCCCCCCCCCCCTAACTTTGAGTCTTCCTGGAATCCTCTTGGAAAGGTGCTAAGAACCTCAATGTGACTGGGGACAGCAAGCAGCCTTGTCAGCCTAGGACGCACTAGGGAGCCCTGAATGGGTTCATCCCTGGCCCGCTGCAGTTCAGCATTGCTCTCGGGCCTTGAGCAGTAGCACTTGCAGAGACTCACCCGCCCGGTGTCCGACAGCCACTGTGTCCTGGTGCGCACGGAATCCTGCTGCTGCTGTGCTTGTCCCTGGGTTGTGGAACTCAGAGGATGAGGTGCTGGTGTTGGTGTTGGTTGCGAGGTCAGGGAGTTTTCTTTTGGTGTCTTCAGGGGTGATGGAGGCTTGCGTGTCCCGGGGGATGCGGGCGACAGATGATGATCAGTGTGGATGAGCGCCCCACTCGCTCGCTCTCTGCGAATTGCTAACCAGTCCGGACACACAGTGAGCCAGTGGCGTGGCGTCTTTGCAGAGAATCACTGCTGACCATTTGTGGTCCTGAAGGAAGGACACCTAAAACCGAAAATTCGTGTTTGTGTGTTGGTCATTGTGTATGGTTCAAGCTTTTAACCCCCCCTCCCCCCACTCAGTTACTATGAATGTTTAGGTCACGCACTGCACTGCAAACATTGAGACTTGTGTGGACTTACCTTTGCCACGTGGAAGACATTTGGCTGCTCTCCTTTTATTTTTTACCCCCTGTCATCTTTATATAGTTTAGATATAAACTGAAAAAAAGAAAAAAAAAACTAGCGTCAATATTAAGCAAATGCAGCTAAATCTGCAACCCCTTTTTAGTGCAGTGTGTAATGAATTTTCACCTTCATGCACGCTTTAAATAGGGACAGAAGTTCACCGGCATGTTCTGAACCGAGAAAAATCTGCACTGTCAGTCATTGCTGAGGGGGTGGGGTGGTTTGGAGTCTGGGCCATCTC